TAAAAAAATAATTTTATTAGCAATAAATTAACGATAATAAGTTTACATTAGATGGTGTTATGATAATATAGATTTAAAGACGGTTTTTATAATTATATTTTTTTCACGTCCTTAATCATTTTTAAATTCATGTTTTCATAATAAAAATGTTAAAAATCATACTTTGCTAATATGAAATAGTCTATCATCTATCATCGATTATCATCATGTATTTCAAAGTTTGGATGAATTATTTTCCAAAATATAATGTTGAGGTGACATAATATCATATGGTTTTCTTGTTTTCGCGTTTTCGCAAATTATTTGCATTTTCGCATGAACCCTCCCCTATATATATATATATATATATATATATATATATATATATATATATATATATATATATATATATATATATATATATATATATATATATATATATAGACTTTTTATTTTTAATTTGTAATCTGTTTATTATATAACTATATAATTATTATTTATTATTCCAACTAATTATTTTTATTAACTTTTTATTTTAAATGATACTTTATAAAAAAATATTAACAATCACATTTTTTTGAAAATCTTATCTACGTCGTCTTCTTTTTTTTTTTACAATATTTTTTTTGATTTTTTAACTTATGTGTCTCACATACCTGAATTCAAAAAAAAATTATTTCTAAAGTTTGTTTTGATATTATAAAAATAATAAACACTATTAATAAAATACATTTACAAAATTCTCTTTTTTCTTATCATTTATTAAAATATTAGATATTAAAAATATTATTACAAAATTTTACATGAACGATATAATTATTATTTATTATTCCATCTAGTTATTTTTATTAACTTTATATATATATATATATATATATATATATATATATATATATATATATATATATATATATTAAAAAAGGAAGAAAAAAAAAAGCTATCAAAAGATATGGCATGCGTTGGTATTTCGTATAGATTAATAAAGTGAAAAAAAATAAAGGTTTACATTTATGTTGAGAAAAGTATTGTCTCAAAAAATATATTATGTTGATAAAAGTATTATCTCAAAAAATATATATAGCAGTTATTAAAAATATATGGCCGCTATAATTAAAAAAAAGATGGGTAGATGATGAAAAAAAAAAAAAAAAAAACGAGATAAATAAAAGGTGTGGGTATTGAAAAAAACGGCAGATGTATCATGTTATGCTACTAAAAAAATGTATAAATTGTAAACAAACAAAAGACAAAAGAAAAAGAATTCAGATAAAAAAACCCATAGGTTTCAATACATATTATATTATAATTGCAATGTTACTTTTATTGAAATTTAAAAAAAATAAAAAAATAAAAAACTATATATATATATATATATATATATGAGAGAGAAAGAGAAGTAGAGAAAAAAGCTAAATAAATAAAATTACTTTTTCGGAAAACAAAATACCTAACAATATAATGATTTTTACTAATAATAATGATTAAGCTAAGTATACTAGATTGGTGTTTAATAGAGTGGTGTGTAGAAAGAAAATCCCTTTCTTTGATCAGGTATGCCATAATCTGTGTGCAACCCGAAATGACCGAGTCAAGTGCGACGCTACTTCTTGTCCGTGTAGCGTCTTAAGATCCCCCACAAAACCACAAGGCCAGTCCTTACAAATTACATATGCCAACTGCTTTTGTCATGCCATGTGCTCATCAGGGAAGCGGCATTTGCCCACGAACCAGTTCTTTCTAACCCATTACAGTCCCCTTCATTGTCAAACTCTTCAGTGACTCGATCAGACGACAACGATTAGACTAATAATGCTCTTGGTCTATAGGGATGGACCCAGGATTACGTAATAGGTGTTGACGGTGGCACGTTTTTCCTTTTACTTAGGGGCACAAATGTAGAAAAAACGAAAAAATCGAAAATTTTTACACTGTATCCGGAAAAAACATGGGTTGTCGGTGTCACTATGGGCACCATAGTGGAACCGTTCCTGTTGGTCTATGCGACCCCTTTTGAACCCAATGACAAGCTAATCCGGTGGCATGGTTTTCAATCACTCTCGGGGTCAATTGCTAAATTAGAAATAAATTGGTAAATCTATCGTATATTCAATTGGTTAATTATTGTTTGTTTGTTTTTCTTTCTAAATATTTTATATTTTGTTTTCAAATGAAAATGCAAAGTTGCTAATATGATTAGAATTAGGTATTTACAGTTAGATTTTTTTTTCTCTGTATTTTGCTAATTCCTTTATATTTTGATATAGCGTATGTAGAACTGTTTGGTTTTTGCTAATTGTTCTGGTAATGACTAATGAAACTATATATATATATATATATATATATATATATATATATATATATATATATATATATATATATATATATATATATATATATATATATATATATATTCAAATAGGATTAGAATATCAATTTGTTTGTGTTTGTATTTTACTTTCGGTCAATTAAGAAAACTGAAATCAATAGCATGCATGGCTTCTTTCACACTAGTTATTAGTCATACTCACACAGTGGATATTGCGTAAAGAATGCCTAGGCACCATCTACATTGCTACAAATCTACAACAATATTTAAAATGTCCCGGGCCCCAGCCTCTTGCTAGAGCTAGACTAATGTCTAAAAGTTTATTGTCATTTGAGTGTTGGTCCAGTTTTTCCTGTCTAAAAAGTCTATTTCCTAGACTTGCTCCATTCCACAGATAGCAACCTCTTTATCTCTCTTTAAATACTTATTCAATGCTAAGCCACCTCTCAAGCGTACATATGCGAGAAAAGAGAAGGATAAAACAGAAAATTAAATTAACAAAGCAGGGTACTTTTGAAAAAAAATAATAATAAGTCGTTCTTAGATTTTGTTGATCTAAACGTAAGGACTGCTTCAATACCAAAATATAATCACATTCAATTTGCACCTTGTGCACCAAGGTAAAAGAAATAGGCAGAACAGGGGAAAAGCAATCACAGGTAAAAACAGGGGAATAAGACTTGGTTCTTAATGATTAAAATACCACACGTTCGGATCTATTTATACTAGACAAATTACTATTAGAATCGAGTCTAATACTAATGCACGGAAAAAACAGACTTAAACTAAAGTTTCCAATATTGCCCCTGATGCTGAATTACTCCCAACATTTTTGTGGGTATATTTAGTAGCGGGGAAACCATGGAGAAGTATCTTTTGTGATTTGGTATTACTTACCTTTATGGTTGTTCTTGAAGCTTCAGTTTCTTTATCATCAAAATTGGTCTACATTTTTGTGGGTATATTTAGTAGCGGGGAAACCATGGAGAAGTTCACCAAGTGACACGAAAAATAAAAGTAAGAAATTGGTCTACATTTCTTGATGAAAATGAATGATTTTATCCTTCACCAAACCAAGACGATTTTGCCCTTGAACAAACTCGAAAAAGGACACAAAATAGGGACCACATTCGTAATGTAATCTAGTTTAAAAATGATCATAAGATAAGAATTTTGGAAATTTTACCCACAGGTTAGTGAACAGAAGATCATCTCCAACATCCATGCTCAAATTAAATCTAAAGCCATTTTGGAAGCTATGATTTTTTACCAAGATACCTGATGAATCTTGGATCCAGAGCATATTTCATTTACAATTAATAAGAAAATCTTTTCTTTTGCTTTTTTGGCCCATGAACATATTTCATTTACAATTAGTGGACCTTCTAGGATGTGTCTTCCCTCTATGTAAGCTGATTGTATTTCTTTGACCGCTGAACTCATTACTAGTTTGTCTTACTGCAAGGATTTTTGCAACAATCTTATACCTACATCCTATCAAGCTGATATGTCTATAATCTTCCAGACTCAACGGATCCTTGACTTTTGGAATAAGGGTTATAAAGGAAGAATTACAACCATTGGCAAATTGACCATGAGCTTCAAAGTGTGACACAAAACGGATGACATCATGTTTGATTAGTTCCCACTTGTGTTTCAGAATTTTGAATGTGTATCCGTCAAGCCCTGGAGATTTGTCACCACCACAACTCCATACTACTTGTCTTATTTCTTCAAGAGAGACAGGCAAATCAAGGAACTTCCTTTGATTGTTTGAAAGGGTTTGAAATTCTTCACTAACTCTCAGGCTATTTTTTGTGAAATTTATCGCCAAAGAATTTATGCACAGCCTGTTTAATTTGTGTTGGTTCGGTGCTCCACTCCCCGTTGATCGATAGACCATGTATTCTGTTTTTTCTGTTTTTGCTTTTAATGGAATTGTGAAAGAATCGAGTATTTTCATCACCTTCTGTTAGCCACCGAATTTTTGCTTTTTGTTGGATGTCCTGTTTCATAAAATACTCTAATTCACCGATTTTGCCTTTGCATACTCTTCTTTCATTCAACTTGTATTAGATAAAGGTCTTGATTCCGCAAGCTCTTCAATATCCTCCACCTTTTTCTTTAGTTGAGCTAATAGTTTAGATTCCTTGTTCGTATCTAAACCTCTCCATTTGTCGATTTCTTTTCTAACATACCGGAGTTTTGGATTTTAAGAACATGCTGGGGGTACCAAATCCTTTGAAAGAGAGCCAAACATTCGTTAAAGTCATATCAAAGTCTTCTCTGTAGATCCAGGAGTTGAAGAAACGAAAGTGAGATGGTCCAAAATCTTTGTTTGAAGGTTTAAGGACCAGGGGGAATGGTTCGAGTGTTCACGGGGTAAGGCAATAATAGTGGTGAGAGGCTGTTGCCTAATGAAATTCGAGCACACCAAGAATCGGTCCAGCTTGCTGAGTTAAGCTCGGTGACTTCTTCTTCTTCTTTAATAAAACACAAATAAATTTGTAATAAAATTATATTTTTCTACTTCTTTTTAGTAAACAAAACGGTAATTTGATTAAATTCATGAAACTTCTAAAAGAATATTCTGTGAGTTACCTATTTAATTACTAATTTGTTTACACCAAAGTATATTACTGTTTCTTGAGCCATTCTATTTGTACTTTGCAAAACGGTTGCCATAACTACAAATGGGATTATAAAGATTTCGAACAAAAAAAAGTACATTGTTGTTTTTGGATTCAAGACCCCAACATATCCTAATCAAAATTAACAGATTTAATCTGTTGAGTTAACAGACTTAACCTGATGTAGCCCGAAAGAAATGAGATAATAGGAAAAGAAAAACTAGGTAATATTTAACCAGATATCATACAAAAGAAAGTAAGATAATGAAAAAAAGAAAAAGTAATCAGATTAACAGATTTATAACCAGTTGAGTGGGAAACAAAACTAATGCCTAAACATGAACTTAAAGCATCATGAATCAGTTAAGCTCAGTGACTTATTCTTCAGGAAACTTGACATTTGATGGAAAAACAAAACCTTTATCTTGCAAACAAGTAACAACCTACATCAAAACCAAGTGACAAAACAACAATTTAGTCATAAAATAAATAGGGGCACTCATCTAAACAAGTTTATCCAAAATGAAAAAAAAAAAAATGTTTACCTCAGAACATAAAATCCCAATTTTAAGCTCCTTGACATGGCCAAGCTTCATTATAAATCCTTTAAGCATCTCTTCTTCCACTTTTTTAGGCGCTGTATAATTTAAGTTAGCTTTAACTAAAGAAGACACATCTACCAACAAAAGCTTCACCAATTCTATTTCCTGTTGGATTCTTAGTGATTGAATATTAGGAGCATTGATTTCAATGATATCGATATCGATATCGGCTTCAGATCCAATACAATAATCCAAGTATCTATCCAAATCGGCGTCGGATGCAGATACATCATAACTATTCAAGTAATTCCAGTATTTAGATATCACCAAGTTTTTAACACTCTTTGAAGTGATATTAAGCCTCCTATAACCATAGCAAAGATTCAACTCCAAAGTTTCCAATACAGGACTCCCTGATAATATAATTTCAATCAATCCTTCATCTAAACTCCCATACGATATACACAAATTCCTAAGATTTTTCCAACTAATTGCTCCAGCTGGAATAACCATGCACGTGCACAGATCTAATGTCAGATCAGTCAGACATGAACATGTGAAAAGAGTTTGATCTAACATAAAATCAGATTCAGATTCCAATTTGTTAGTAGATAGCCTTAATATAATCTCTTTAACGTTGCATCTTATAACATAACAAATCCAACTGTTGAGTTGTAATTCTAACTTAATATCAAATTCAGATGACGCTTCGAATTTCTTGAGCTTCTTCAGTTGGGGAGCATTGATTTTGATGATATCGTCTTCAAATTCATCATATGAACTAATCTCTATCCCCCTATAACCATCGAAACCTTCCAACACCAAAGTTTCCAATAGAGGACTTCCAGATAATATATTTACGATCAAGTCTTCATCTAACATCAGATAGGAAATATACAAACTCTTGAGATTTTTCCAACTAATCGCCCCACTTGGATTCAACATGCAGCCTGCTAATTTCAGATCGGTAAAACAAGAATTGTTGAAAATAGATTGATCTAGACGAAACTCAGCGTCCCTGTCACTGTACAGAAACTCCAGGTCAAGCTCTTCAACGTTACAATTTATGGCATGACGAATCCAATTGTTGAACTGCGATTCAAATCGAATAGCATAATACGAATGCAGTTTGAATTTCTTGAGCTTCAATTGGCGACATTGAGTTAGGGTTTTCTCCACCAATCGCGCGAAATCGTAAATTGAGTTAGGGTTTTGGAAACATTCACACCGGCGATGATGATCTAAATGTGTGAAAATCAGAGTAGGTACCCAATTCCAAAGATTTTTCCATCGCTTGGAGAGTTTACCTGTTCTAATCGCATCTTTTGTATAGGGTAAACGAGAGAGGATTTCAAGAAGCAATCCATCGGGCAACGCACTGATTCCATCCTCGTCCCCTTTCTCCGTGTTTTCTTGACACTTAATCCGTTTCTCGGCATTTTTTGGTTGATTTTGACCTTCTTCAAACATCTTCATGGTGGCAAGAGGCAACAGAGCCCTCGTTTCCCATGAATAACTACAAAACTCAATCGTCGGAAATGTATACATCTCAAGTTTTGCTTTCCCCCCTCAACTTTAAAAATATACTATTCAGTCTATATATTTCCATACTCATGTCACTCTATAATCATCCATCGCCGAAAAAAATTGTATTTTTAATTTATTTAAGAAAAAATTACATGGATGGTCCATGTGGTTATGGTTTACTTGCATGCTTGGTCCTTAGAAAGAGTTTTTATCTCAGACCATTCCCGACACATTAATTTGTTACCCGTTCAGTTTCTCTGTTAATTTGTTTGTATTTTTAGCTGTTAGGAATCCTAGACAGGAGGTATTTTTGTCTTTTCATCTTTGGAGGGGCTTAAATGTAACTTTCTTCAAGACCATTCCTGAAACATTAATTTGTTACCCGCTCAGTCTCTCTGTTAACTTATCTGTATGTTTAGCTGTTAAGAACCCAGATTGGGGGTATTTTTGTCTTTTCATCTTTTGAGGGGCTTAAATGTAACTTTCTTCAAAACTATTAAACATCCCAATAAATGCAAAACTCGGAGAGCACATTATGGCACACTATTTTTTACCAAGTGAATTCCTATGACAAAGAATTTTGTTCAAGAAATTGATGTGAAACCAAGAAGCAATAAATTCAAGAGTTGGATAAAAAAAGAGATAGCAACGAAGGTCAATAAATTGATTTGGTTTGACCATATTTTTCAAATTTTGACCAACCAAAATGTCGAATCCGTTTCGTATCGTCATCAAAGCATCAACCCCATTTTGCCTCCCATAAGCTACAATTTCAAACTTCCTTTGAAATTCGTACAAGGCCAAAAACAGAAACCAACAAAATCATTTAAAACGAGTCTTGCATAGAAGCACCTCCATCGAAAGATGCATCTCGTTCCTTCTTCGTCCCAAAGAGAAATCCAAACTTCATTAGCATCATTGAAACTCTACAGTTCGAAATATCATCTCTGTAAGAAATTAATTACGAGGCGTGATCAAAAGTCAGAAGGTGTTTTGATAGGAAAAAAGATGGTGCTTATTGCTTATTTCCACCGCAATAAGCTAAGTTTAAGTATTTAGATAGAAATCCTTAAAATCAGTTTATTGTGGTAGAAGTAAGTTAAATAAGCTAATTTTAATAAGTATTCATCCCTTTACTTATTGCTTATTGGGTATTTCCACCACAAACAATGTTGCAAAAAAATTGATTAATCCCACAATAATAAGCTAATAAACTATAAGTTAATTTATTCAAACACCCGCTCAATCAGACGAAGTTCTACCTCTTTGATCCTCAAAGGTTGTTCAAGGTCGAGTTTAACGAAACCGTTTCCATCGAAACTCAAATTCGATCATCACTCTGATTTCGAAATCATCCATTGATTCACCAACGAAATCGGATAACTACTCGCGTTCCAGCAAAATCGTCAACATTGGAAACAACTTTAAACCATCTACGCTCAAAAAACGAAAATTAACTCAACAACCCAATCGACAATCATATCCTAAACATCAACACCACAATTTTTTCAGATCAAATAGACATTCAAAGAATCATTATCGACACAAGGATAGAACCTTAAATATGAAGAACATGATGATGAAGGAACCCTAAAATCCTCCGTCAATGAATGTTTTATTTCCAAGGAATAGAAATCAATTGATGATATTAGAATGATAAATTCAGTCAATTCTACTGGAGGAATTAATTGTAGACTCTAGTCGATGAATACAACCCATGATATTCCAAAGCGATGAACATAATTAGAGAAGAACTAAGAAAAAGAAAGAAGGGAAGGAGTGTGTTTTAAAGCAGTTTCAAAGGTGAAAGGACAAAAATGCCGATGATATTCCTAACAGCTAAACAAATGGACAAGTTAATAGAGGGAAAGAGCGGGTAACAAGTTAAAGAGTTAAAGTTTTGGGGATGGCCGAGTTAAAAAAATCTTTTTAAGAACCAAGTGTGCAAGTAAACCATAACCACATGGACCATCGGTATAATTTTCTCTTTATTTAGTATAACATCATATTTTCATTTCTTCTTGTTATCTAAAAAATCTATCCATATAGCATTTGTTCAGCGTAAAAATGAGCATGGACCAGATAGAGTTTATGAAGTATGAAGTGCTAATGAGGAAAATTTTAAAAGTTTAATATAGATATTTTATACAATCACAGTTTCAAAGTAACAAACATGTGCAAATAATGACCTACACATTAGTTTGATAAAGACCTACACCCTTTTGAAACATGAAAGATTCTTTCAAGACATCCTGCGAGTTAGTATTTACACTTATCAGGTTGTAGTCAATTTACAACAAAAGTCCTAGTTTTCATATTTGAAATTGGTACGTTAATAAACAAATCAATGAAAATACAATATTTTTCTTGTATTTTGGATTATTTTCAACCTAAATGATAAAAGAATGTGACTGCAACCAGCAAAGCTAGTTTTAAAGCAAAAGCTTATGATTATTGATTTCATTAACATGTTAATGTAATGATACAAATTTAAGTTTATCATGAATTTCGTTTGACAATTTAAGTACATGTAGAATTAATAAAACAAAAGCATATATATCACTTTACATTCTATATCACATCTTAAATTATTTTTTCAAACTTGTAGTGATATCTAAAAAATTTAATATCACTCCATAAAAAAAATTGAATTATTTTATTTGGTCATTAAATATGCACTATGTTATATATTACGATCTTCCAAAACAAACGTAATCAAGACAACTATTAAAAGTTAAAACTTCTAGGTGCTTGGTCTATGTTGTAACATTCTAAAATTTAAGACTAAAATTCTGTAACATCCTATTAGGAACAAACTTATTATATACTTCATTAATCTTTTTATGTATAAAGGAAAACGTTAAATAGAAGAAATGCTCATTGAAACCCAAATAAAATTGTAATAAAAAAATATATTTTCTAGTTCTTTTTTAGTAAACAGAACTGTAATTTGATTAAATTCGTGAAACTTCTATAAGAAGAGTTGTGAGTTACCTATTTAATTACTTATTTGTTTACCAGGATTCAAACCAAAGTACATTGTTGTTTGTATTTTGCAAAAGATTTACCTGTTGCCAAAACTACAAATGGGACATTACTACAGTACAAATCGTATTATAAAGCATTCAACCAAAAAAAAGTACACTGTTTTTTCTGGATTTAAGATCCAGACATATCCTAATCAGAATCAATTGATTTAACCTCTTGAGTTAACAGATTTAACAAAATATGATAATAGAAAAAGAAAAAATAGACAGATTTAACCTGCTGTAAAACAAAAGAAAATAAGATAATGAAAAAAGAAAAACTAATCAGATTAACAGATTTAACCAGTTAGAATTGAAAAAAGAAAACTAATGCCTAAACATGAACTTAAAGCATCATAAATCAGTTCAGTTCTCGATGACTTCAGAAAACTTGACATTTGATGGAAAAATGAAACCTTTAGCTTGCAAACAAGAAACAACCTACACCAAAACCAAGTGATAAAACAACAATTTAGTTGTAAAATAATTATGAGTCCTGAAATTTGAAACAAGTTAATCCAAAACTGAAAAAAAGAAATCTTACCTCAGAACAAAAAAACCCGATTTTAATTTCCTTGACATGGCTAAGATTCATTATAAATCCTTTAAGCATCTCTTCTTTGGGCGTTGTGTGGCGATACCGGATCCCTTTACAAATATAATTTAAGTCGGCTTTGACTAAAGAAGACACATCTACGAACAAAATCTTCAACAAATTTATTTCATATTGGATTGTTAGTGATTGAATATTAGGCGCATTGATTTCGATGACATCATCTACAGATCTATCAAGTTCATAATCCTTGTATCCAAATATCACCAAGTTTTTAACACTCTTTGAAGTAATATTGAGTCGCCTATAACCATAGCAAAGATTCAACTCCAAAGTTTCCAATACAGGACTCCCTGATAATATTTTTTCAATCAAATCTTCATCTGAACTCCCATAACTTACCCACAAATTCTTAAGATTTTTCCAACTAATTGCCCCAATTGGATTAACCATGCACCTATGTAATTTCATATTAGTAAAACATGAACTCGTGAAAAAAGTTTGATCTAACATAAACTCATATTCGATTCCATTAGTGCATAAAGTTAAATAAATCTCTTTAACACTACACCGTATAGCATAAAGAACCCAACTGTTTAGTTGTGATTTCAACTTAATATCATTATAGGAAAGCAATTTGAATTTCTTGAGCTTCAATTAGGGACATTGAGTTAGTGAAAAACTATTAGAAGCATTGGTTTTGATGATATTGGCTTCAGATTCATCATCTAAAGAATTATCTGAAGTAGTGTTGTCTATCCAACCATCTAAATCTTCCAACACCAAAGTTTCCAATAGAGGACTTCCAGATAATATATTTACAATCAAATCTTCATCTAATTTCAGATAGGAAATAGACAAACTCCTTAGATTTTTCCAACTAATCGCCCCACTTGGATTCAACTTGCAGCCTGCTAATTTCAGATCCGTAAAACAAGAATTGATGAAAATAGACTGATCTAATCGAAACTCTGTCGGGCATGGAAACTCCAAGTTAAGCTCTTCAACGTTACAACTTATGGCATGACGAATCCAATTGTTGAACTTAAATTTAAATCGAAAATCATAATGGGTACGCAGTTGGAATTTCTTGAGCTTCAATTGGCGACATTGAGTTAGCGTTTTCTCCACCACTAGAGAGAAATCCGATCTTTGTATCCAGGGATGGGGATGATGGTATATGGGCCGAATGTTCTATGATAGTTTGGGGGTCGTAGATTACCCTAGGGTAAGTCTAGGATGAGACTAGTGACATGAGTCACCTGATTGTGAATTGAACATATAGATAGAATTGTTTGACTGGAATATGTGGCTAGTTGTTTGAATGTTGCTTGCTTTGTTCTTTGTGGGACTTCTAGCAATGTGAGCTAGTTACTAAGTGAATATGCTAGGTCACATGTGGCACAGGCCGGATAATCTCAGAGTGATGGACTTGGCCCTATTGTGCAGCTCTCGTTTAAGTCTAACCATTCTAGGATTAAGCCTGTTACTCGAATGATTATCTGATCTCTGTTGCATGTGGCTATATTCATAAGGTAGCTAGTTGACATTACTGGCAATCTTTAAGCAACTAAGGACTGAGTGAGGTTGGGAACCTAGGATATGCTTCAGTGAGTTTAGTGGGGCGATTCAGTGAAGTTGGGAACCGAAGTGGAGCCTAGGAGGTGCTTCGGTGGATACTGTGTTGTTGTCTAGCAGACATTTAGTACATCATGGGAGTAGGTGACTTAGAGGATTCGAGATGATTCCAGAGGAAAATATAGATAGGTGTGGAAGGTAGTATTGGGCCTGTACTACTGAAAGCACAGGATCCATACTCGAATTGGGGAAAGTCTTGTAGAATCTAAGAAGCCTGGGAAGAAGAATTCTTGGTTATGATTGGACCGTGGTTATAGTTGCTATGCAGAATGTGGATGAGCACACAAGGGGAAGGACCATGGTTGGTCCCGGCTCCGGTGGTGAGCCAGCTAGTGGAAGGACTGCCAGGGTTTTGAGTTCACCTTGGATCTCTTGTATCAGGCGGAAAGGATTGATTGTGCGATCTATTGCACTTTCGGGACCGAAGAATATGTCTTAGGGGTAATTTGTATCTCGGTTTAGAGCAGAGGTTGCTCCAACTATTGCAGTTCAGCTGTTGGCGATTGAGCTGGTGAGTGTGTCAGGGTACAAGACCATGAATGTTGTGGATCCCAGAGCCCGAGGGCGGAAGATCGATTTAGAGTACCTCGAGAAGAGAGGTTCAGGTTATGTTCATTTAGTGGAGGGTCTCGAGAAGAGACCTAAGAAACTCGGATAAACTTTTGAGAGGCCAGCAGGTTGGGTTCAGTGTAACGCTTGTGGAAACTACACGATGGAGGTTCGTTCCAAGGGTTTGGAGTATCATTGGGATTGGAAGGAAGTGTTACCCCATGCCCTCAGGGTGATCGAGGTAACACAGGAGGAGGGGTCAGGATCCGTTCAGATGTTTGCGAAAATGCTATTTTCTGCCATTTTCAATGAATGTCGGGAATTTGCATCACTTTGGAATTGTGATAAGTTGAATCTCGAGTCGGTTCTCTGCTATAGTCTGAGTGAGAAAGGGTTGTCAGATGCCAATCGGCATGTCGAGGAATCTTCGGGGAATCTTCAGACGAACGCATCTCGCGAAACGGGTTCCCCATGTACCGTGATTGCTCCGAGTCGTTGTCGGAATCTGTTCAGTGATCTGGGTTGCTACAGGTGTCGTAGCTTTGGCTACGTCATCGGGGATTGCTCATAGGGGGTAAGTCCGTTCTATTTTCATTGTGATCAGGTGGGCAACAAGGAGGTCGATTGTCTGACGATCAGGGAAGAGAAGTGAGTTCAGCTGCTCTAGTCATTTTCGGGGTTGGTTCAAGGGCTTGAACGAGGATTTATGTGTAACGCCCGGGTTTCAGGGCTAAGCATTTTTAGACAATATAATATTCTAGGTCAACTATTGTAACTCTTTCTGAAATAATAAAAATGAAATATTTGAGTATTATGTGAATTATGTGTATTTATATGCTTATTACTCATTTATAAATGTATAATAAATAAAGGATAAAAATAAGCATCAAAGTTAAAATGTGAGATAAACCCGATATCTTTACATAAAGTTGTAGTTGTCGAAACAAGGATTCTGGAGATATAAAGAACGCCAAAATCCAAGTTGTAACGAAGAAGTTATGACCCGTCGAAGTTTCACGATGGAACCGACACGATACCGGGAAGCGTACATAGTGAATTTACGATATAGCGAGTTTTAGCCTTAACGATCTAAAAAAATTCGTAGAATACATTAAACCGAGAGCGTCCATAAAAAGAACACTCAAATCTGACTTCGTATGAGGAAGTTATGATTTTTCGAAGTTTCGGCTTAGCACTGTACAGCCCGAAACTCGAATTTTAGATCGAGTGGTTTTTGGCATATGCGACCTAAATGAGAATTGAAGATCTCATTAATATGAACTCAACGGTAAAAAGACATATGAAAACAAAGACCGTATGTAGAAGTTATGAATTTTACACGGACATTTAACAATATAATCTCCTCGTACTATTAAATTTAAGATCTGTCGAGAATTAGCCGACGGAGTCAAAATGAAAGTTGTAGATCTTATTTTTACCTACGCTTGGATATAAAGAACATCAGAAACGGAGCTTGTATGTGAAAGTTACGGATTTTAGAAGTCGGAAGTGTATTGTACGAAAATGGGTGACGTGGCATAATCTTGGCCATTGCTTTCTCCCCAAGGCTTGCCACCAGATGGTGACATGTGGCACCAAGTTCAGCCACATTTCACCCTATAAATACCACCTCTCCCACCCTCATTTTCTTCACACCCTCATTTTAGAAGTCGGAAGTGTATTGTACGAAAATGGGTGACGTGGCACAATCTTGGCCATTGCTTTCTCCCCAAGGCTTGCCACCAGATGGTGACATGTGACACCAAGTTCAGCCACATTTCACCCTATAAATACCACCTCTCCCACCCTCATTTTCTTCGCACCTTTCCCATTCTTTCTTCTCTTTACTCTCTCTCTAGCCCTGAAATCCCCCAAAAAGCCAAGGGAACCTCCCTAGCACGAGGCGGAAGCCCCGGAGTGCTCAACGGCTTCGAGAAGAAGAGCTTTTTGGCTCAGGAACGCTGCTCCAAGCAAAGTCTGGTTTTCTATAAAACCCGCTGTAAGTGAGCTACGTTTACGCTATTTTTAATATAGCTTTTATTTAATTATAGTGACGTTATTAGGAACTTATAATAAATATTTGGGCTATTATTATGGGTTATATAAGTATTTTTTTAACGCTTATATAATAGTAATAATAGTTAGACTATTAATTAGTCTCGGCGAATAATAGACTAAACTCTAGTGGTAATAATACTAGGTTTTGTCGAAGGAAATTATTTTTAAGAAGCGAAGCGCTGTCTGAGTTCGGAATCACCACCTTTTCAAGTGAGTGCATGGTCTCTTTCATCTTACAGATAGATATGAAGTATTTTATATAAACTACGTGCTATGTGTGTATATTATTTTTATACTTACTATCTGTAACATCCCAAAAATACAGGCCAAAAATTTCATTTTTAAATACATCATGATAAAACCAACAGTGTAATAAAACATCCATAATATCATGTCATGTCAAAACCAAAGTAGAAATAATCAAACGTATTATCATAAAATAATACCAGAGTGTAATCCCAAAGATCTCATGTGCGGAAAACCATAGTGTGATGCGCTGCAATCAAGCCGGCTCCTTTCCTTTAGACATGAAGTACCTGAAACCAAAACTGAAAACTGTAAGCACGAAGCTTAGTGAGTTCCCCCATCATACCTCATACCATGCAAGCATATGACATACAACATTCAACTAGGAGATACGGGCCACGCCCACACTCGTGAAGATACGGGCCCTGCCCACACTTTGCTTTCTGGGAGATACGGGTCACGCCCACACTCGTGAAGATACGGTCCCTGCCCACACTTCGCTTTCTGGGAGATACGGGCCACGCCCACACTCGTGAAGATACAAGCCCTGCCCACACTTCGCTTTCTGGGAGATACGGGCCTAGCCTACACTCCACTCTCGAAGAGATACGGGCCTTGCCCACACTCAACCGCCAACTCATATCATACAAGTATCACACAGACAACAAGTATAGACAACTATATCATACTAGCATATATCATAATCAACTCAACTAAGAGATACGGGCTCGACCCACACTCTAATACTAATGTCTCGTCTATACGGGCCGACCTTGGTGCCTTAGACCCGTTACTACTGGAAGGAAACTCACCTCACACTGCTGACGTCCCGCAGACTCAACCCCACATTGCTGAAGTCCCGCAGACTCAACCCCAGCTGCTGGCTGACAGATTCCCTAACTGTCAACACCAAAATAACACCCAATTAATAATTAGGTCCCACTACATAACCATAAACACTTACTTTGGATAATTATATTACCCCAAGCTTGGCTTATTCGAGCCCAAGGCCCAATCCGTAGGCCCAAAGTCAACAAGGAATCAAAGCCCAACACATGGCCCAATTTTCCAAATTGGGCTTGGGCCTATACATGGTCTCATTCTAAGTCCCAACATCATATACTCATTAAGGCCCAAACTATGGCCCATCTATGGCCCAATTTTCCAAATTAGGCCCAATCCCCTTACATGGGACTTACCCTAGGCCCATTAAATTATTCTAGTCTAATTGCTTGACTTTAGATGGCCCATTAATAAGCCGATCATCAAAGCCCAAAAGGAAGGCCCAACAATAAACCCAAGTGAAATTAGGGTTTCACATAAAATGATGATTAGGGTTAAGTTTCCTACTTAACACATTAACGACTTAATCCATTAAGTCCATTATCGCTTAGATTAATCTTTTCCAAAG